AGGGATTTGCATGTGTCTGTTATCGGAGGCCCCACTTAGTCATGTTTGGAGAAGTTAATGACCATAATACTGGTCACCAGTCCTTTTAGGAAGGTGTGGGATGGAATGGACAGAAGCATAGCAATGCTTGAAAACATCTAATAACACTGGAACTGGAGGGTGGGGGTAGAGACATCTTGATGTTCATCAGAAAAAGGAGTACCTATTCATATGAAAACATGGATCACTGAAATATTGAAGAAAATATTTTCTACCACAATTATCCATATGTTGTATCCCTCTATCAGACTGTAAGCGCCATAAGGGGAGGACACATGCCTTATTTGAACTTTGAAATTCACACACCACCTACCACAGTGCTCTACAAACTGTCATTGAATAAATTTTTGTTGAAATGTTACCCGAGAAAAATGAGTTTTTACACTAGATCTCTGAGAATTGTAGTAGTAATAAAAATGACAGCAATAATAACAGCCATAATAACAATATGTTAGATTTACGTAACCCCTTTTCTCCTTAGAACAAATTCATTTCATGAATGTCACCACACTGATCCTGCTAGCATCATTGTGAAACCAATAATGATAAGTTTTCATGGCCAGTTAATTAATAGGTGGACAGTTGTGATACTGTACAGTTTCACACTACACTACACCTACATCTATACTATACTACACTACTTCGGCACTATAGATAGAAACAAGACCTGCATTGCATAATAAAGCTAGGCCTAATAAACATCATTCAGCCTCTAGCCTAGTATTAATATACCAGTCTTAGAATGCATTATCTCATTGGATACAGTGACCAGTGTCCTTGTACAGCAGAATGAGAGATTGTAAGTTTACAGAAAAGGTAAATGCAAGGGTGGAGTCTTTTCACCTCAGTGGGCTCCAGTTTCTATATCTTTCCATGACCATTGACCAATGTCAAAAAATCCCAACTGGTCAGAAGAATCATGAGGTACATTCCTCCAATAAATATGTTAATAAGCTCTATTCACTGCCCTCCCATATGTATGTCACATTGTTATTTTTTTGAAAGATGATTTATTTGGATTCTACTAATCCCACATTTGTGGCAGTTTGATTAGGCAGGGCTTAATTTACCTTTGCATTATCTATAAAGAAAGGATCTGCTAAGCTAATCTATAATGTAAACAAGATTGCCAAAAGGGGCATGTTTAGCCTGCTTAAGAGAACAGACATTTTAAGGACTTTGGTGCATTATTGTCACATAAAGGGATGAGTCTCTTAAAGGCTTTCTTCATGCACTCATTCAAAAAGCATTAACTAAGTATCTATAACACGCACAATGTAGGGATAGCCCTAAGGGGTACATGGACAAAAGCAAAAGTCCATGTCTTTAGGGGGTTTACATTCTATTGGGTGAAAACAACATGTACACATACAAAGAAAATTAAGTAAAAAAAAGTATGTGTATATATATATATATATGTATATAGTGTGTATATACATATATGCACATGTATATACATATACATATATACATATATACACACATACACACACACACACACACATATATATATGTAAGACACATAGTAATTTCCTGCATGAGATAGTTTTCAACCAAATAGGCTTCCTTTGGTCTAGAAGGCAGCACTTGAGCTGAGTTTGAGAAGAAGCTATTTACAAGGTGAGAAGGCACCTAAGAAGTCAGTGAATTTCAGGCGTCAGGAATAGCTGATACAGAAGCAGAGGCTGGAGATGGAATGGTCACTCCCTCCCTGGCAGCCAGAGACATTCTCTTATCTGTAGTTGGTCACTAATGGGTTACTTTTGAATCTTTTGAAACAAGACAGGCTAGGCAGGTATATTGGTAAATGATAGGTAACTAGATTACCAAATTAAAAAAAAAAAGGTACAAAGGACATGCTTTTAATTAACATTTTTCTCCTTTACTTTCTCAACTCAATCAACAAAACTATAAATCAAGCCTTGATTTGCAGCATTTGCCAATTTCTGAGGTATAAATGCTCACACTAAAAATTTAACAATCCAAGGAAGGCATTAAGAGCTGGCTCCAGCAATATCCCTGAGTCTAGGACATAACACCCTGGAATGGAATACAAGAGAAGTAGTTATAAGTCTAGCTCTTCCGTTAGCAAATTTGGCTGAAACTTAGAACGTGTGATGCAAAGTAAGGTGAAATAAGCCTGAAAAGCTTGTCTAAAACCAGATTGTAAGGGCTTTAAACACCAAACAGAGGAGTTTGGTTTTTATTCTATAAGAAAAAGGAAGCCATGGGTGTTTTTTGAGCAAAGGAGTGACATGCTTTAGGAATATTGATTATTGATTTGGCAGCCATATGGAGAATAAGGTGGAGGAGAAACAGTTTGTAGGGAAACCAATTAGCAGGCTATCGCAAATAGTATAGGTGAGAGGTGATGAGGGCCAGAACCGGAATAGTAGCTATGAGAGTGGAGGAAAACTGATAAATATTGGTCATATTGTCAAGGTAATTGGATTAATAAGGCTTGGCAACTAATTGGACAGGAAGAATGAGAGAAAAGGAGACAATGAATGAATTAACAGACATTTCTTAAATACCGACTGTATGTTCAGTACTGAGAATGCAAAGTCAAAAAATGAAACATGTTCTGCCTTCAACGGGTTTACATTTTATAGGAGTAGGAAAGAGGACACAATTCAAACATATGAGGTCTATACAAAGCTAATGAAGAATAATCTAGAAAGGACCCTAGTATCTGGGGAGATAAGAAGTTTCAGATAGAAGGTAGAGTTTGGATGCAAAAAATGAATTTTAATGTAAATAAGGCCATGTTAATGTTAATAAAGGGATCACCAGGTGTTAATACATTAGCACACTATCATTAACACCTACCCAGGGGTGGAGAACCTGCAGCCTTGAGGCCACAAGTGGCCCTCTAAGTCCTAAGTGCAGCCCTTTGACTGAATCCAAACTTCACAGAACAAATCTCCTTAATAAAAGGATTTGTTCTGTAAAACTCAGACTTTTTGACTCAGTCAAAAGGCCACACCTAAGGACCTAGAAGGCCACAGGTTCCCCACCCCTGTGCCTGCGGCCTGGGTCAAACCCTCATCATCTCTCGGTTGTAACTGAAAGGATCTGGACTTTGGACAGACAAAAATTGGCCACACCTCTGGAGGCATTTAAATAGCTAAACCCTGGCTGGTGACTTTGTCCAACCTTCCCTCACTTAAATCCAACTCACTTGTATGCATCTCTTCCCTAATGTCATGATCCTCTTCTAGAACTAAGGACAAACAACAACCCCTGTGAGGAGTAGTAGGACTACCCCAGTGGATCCAACTAGAACTAGCCAGTTGGACAACGTTGTTCCTTCCTTCTTCCTTTCTTCCTTTCTTTCTTCTCTCTGTCTCTCTCTGTCTCTCTCTGTCTCTCTCTGTCTCTCTCTCCCCTTAAGAACCATTCCTCTTCCCCTTCCCCTTCTCTTCCCTTCCCTCTGTCCATATTTAGTAAATTCCCTTAAGGGAATTGTATCTTACACTTTCCAGCTGGTGCTCTGCCCAAAGGAATGTAAATTTTCATCACTGAAACCCTGGAAAGATATCTTGGGGTTTACCATCTGGATCTTTGTCTTAAGGATGATGCCTTTAACCCAAATCACTCAGGCTCTCATTAATTTTTTTTTAATGAGGCAATTGGAGTTAAGTGACTTGCCCAGGGTCACACAGCTAGCAAGTGCCAAGTGTCTGAGGCTGGATTTTATAGGAGTAGGAAAGAGGACACAATACATACATATAAGGTCTATACAAAGCTAATGAAGAGTAATCTAGAAAGGACCCTAGTATCTGGGGAGATAAGGAGAAATTTCAGATAGAAGGTGCTCTATATACTGCCCACCTAGCTGCCCCTGGCTCTCATTAATTGACCAATAAAAGGTCCCAGGCCAAGCCCCACTTGGTCATTGTTTGGACCCTGATTGGCTCAGAGTGAACGTAAATGGCGATTGTTTCTGTTTTGGCCAAAACCCTGAGGATCTTCTCCTTCTAGACCAGTTTGGTTTTTTTGTTTTTGTTTTTGTGTTTTTTGGGGTTTTTTTTTTTTGTGCCTAGGTAACAGAGACCATTCTCTTCCTCATTTCTTACCTGAATGAGTGTTGCCTCAGTCAAACTGAGACCTGTTAAAGAACTTAGCTTAAAAAGGCCAAGGTCTCCCACTGGATCCAGGGCCATCTCCAGTTAACCTGATCTATATATTGGACCCAGGTGGTTGGGAGGAGAAAGTGAGACTGGCCAATTTGCACAGTCCTCCCTCACTTAACTTTCTCAACTGTGCCTCCTCCTCTTCCTCTCCTTTCCTACTATCCGTAAATATTTCTCTATTAAAGATAATAAGGAAAGGAAACAGTTTTCCTAAAACAGTGTTAGGGTAACAAATTATTAAAGGGTAGAGTAAATTCAGCATTAAATGAAAATATTGACCACAAAAATAACTTTTTAAAGGCAGCAGAATACGTGACACAGTTGGAAATGTACCAAGAATTCTGTCTTCTCTAGAATTTATACCTCTTAGAGCACTAATTTCCTTATTTTTCTCCATTTTGACATTAAACTCTATCTTTACCTCTTTTAAATATGACCTAGTCCAAACATTTCTCTCCACCTCCTTTTTAATCTCTCTCCAGCTGCTGAAAGCAACTCAGGATACAGAGGTTTTCCCCCAAATCCTGCCTTTCTCTGACTAAATGGCTGCCCTTCATCCACAGTTTTCTCTTCCCCTGACAGCCATCCCCAAGCCATACATGCACTTTACATAATTTCTATTTTCATTTTACAATTCTATTTTCATTAAAGCTCAGTAATCATATTATTTTACTCCAAGGAATTTGGCATGAAAAATAAACTATATGAAATTAAGCTTTGCTAGTTAGTTTTACTAAATCAAATACGCTAATAGCATTAAGCTTCCCCATTCAGATTACAATGTCTTTTGTGTATGTGATTTTTTTTTTAAATTGAAAAGCTCACCTTAACTATGCCACGAATGTGCATTTTTGCTATCATCTCCGCAGTGTAGAGAAACATCAACAGAGTATCCAGGGTAAAGGTGACATACTGAAGAGGGGGATAATGCTCGAATGTCTTTGGAGTGTTCATACAAACTGAAATGACACTGATGATGGCACAGATGCGCAGCAAAGAATGAACCCACTGAAAAGAAAGCAGTTATATGATTTTTAATTTTAATTCATCACATAATGTACTATTCAGTGTTCGAAACTCGTGCTAAATACTATTTACTATTATTTAAATAATATTTTCTCTTTTTTTTCTTTCTCATAGTTTTTCCCTTTTGTTCTGATTCTTTCACAACATGACTAAAGTGGAAATATATTTAATATGATTGTACATGTATAACCCTATATTGGATTGCTTGCCATCTTGGGGAAGGGGAAAGGAAGAGGAGAGAGGGAGAAAACAATTTGGAACTCAAAATCCTTACAAAAATGAATGCTGAAAACTATCTTTACATGTAAATGGAAAAAATAAAATACTATTAAGTGGGGGGAAAAATTAAAAATTAAAAAAAGAAACATGCTAAAAAAGCAAGACATTTGAAAACAGACAAATTCCAAATTTGACAGATTGTAAACTGTCTCATTATTACGTAGAGGAAATCCAGTTAAATTAAAATCTATATATAGATTTTCTTTTGCCTTTTTAGCATATTTCACATTAATGATATTCATATATCATTATATATACACCTTTCAAGTGTAATCTGTTGATACAATGGGTAGAGTGCTTGATCTGGAGATAAGAAGATCCAAATTCAAACATTGCCTCAGACATTAACTAATTGTGTGACCCTGAGCAAGATATTTACCATCTCTTAGTTTCTGTTTCCTCACCTGTAAAATGGGCATAATATGAGTTCCTACCTCCCAGGGTTGTTGCAAGAATCAATTTACAGAACATATGAAAAGTACTTTGCAAAACATAAAGTAATGTATAAATGCTAGCTATTGTTGTTACTCCTTTCCATACCCTTTTATTAGTATATCAGGCATTCTTTTTTTTTTAAATTACAGTGTTTTTTCAATGTATTTTCTTTATTTCATTAAATATTTTCTAATTACATGAAAAAAATTTGATCGCCAAATTCTCTCCTTTCCTCCCATGTCCATCCCCTCTCCTTGAGAAAGAAGAAATTTATATCAATTATACAGGTGATGTCACACAAAACATTTTCATGTTAGTCATATTTCAAAAGAAAACACAGACAAAATAAAAACAAGAAAAATGTAGAAAGTAAGAAAAGTATGCTTCTATCTGCATTCAGTTCTCTCTGGAAGTGGATAGCATTTTTCTTTATGGGTCCTTTGGAATTGTCTTGGATCATTGTCTTGATCAGAGTAGCTAAGTCTTTCACAGTTGATCATTGATAGAATTTTGCTGTTACCATGTACAATGTTCTCCTGGTTCTGTTCATTTCACTTTGCATGAGTTCATATAAGTCTTCCCAGGTTTTTCAGGAAGCATCCCCTTGTCATTTCTTATAGCACACTAGTATTCTATCACTATCATATACCATAATTTGTTCAATCATTCCCCAATTGATAGCTATTCCCTCAATTTCTAATCCCATGTCACCACAAAAAGAGCTGCTATAAATATTTTTTTGAACATATAGGTCCTTCACCCTCTTTTTTGATTTCTTTGGAATATAGACCTAATAGCAGTACTGCTGGGTCAAAGGGTATGCACAGTTTTATTCCCCTTCGGGCATAGTTCCAAATTGATCTCCAGAACGATTGGACTACTTAACAACTCCACCAACAGTGCCCTAATGTCCCATTTTTTTTGGCATTCCCTCCAATATTTGTCATTTTCCCTTTGTGTCATGTGAGCCAATCTGATAGGTGTGAGGTGTATCTCAGAGTTATTTTAATTGACATTTCTCAAATCAGTGGTGATTTAGAGGATTTTTTTCATATGACTATTGATAACTTTGATTTCTTCTGAAAACTGCATATTCATATCCTTTGACCATTTATCACCTGGGAAATTGCTCTTATTTTTACAAATTTGGCTCATTTCCCTATATATTTGAGAAATGAGGTCTTTATCAGAGAAATTTGCTGTAACTTTTTCCCAGTTTCCTGTCCTTCTAATTTTGGCTACATTAGTTTTGTTTGTATAAAAGCCTTTTCATTTTGTGTAATCAAAATTATCCATTTAAAAAAGTATGATGTGTTTTCAAATTCAATCTCATCCCCAACTATCAAAAGAAATAGAATTATCTTTACCTTTGTCCAAAGGAAATAAAATCTTTCTGAATTAGAGAAGCATCAATCCTTTCCCCCAGGTTCTGTCCCTTCTCCTGAGTCAAGAGAAGAGTGAATCTCCTGGCTCCCTTTAGGAGACACATTATATTGCTACACTTGAGTAGTCCTGAGCTAAGGATTCCTTTCCTACTTGTTTATAGAGAAAGCCACAGCCACAGCCTCAAAGAGCTGAGAAGTTCAACTCTAGGCTTGTGGCCCCTTAAAATGTATGCTAAGAGTTATGTTACTTTCATAACTTACTTTGAATAAAAAGATTCAAAGAAAAGAAGTAGAACTTTAACTCAAAATAAAGAAAAGAAAGAAACAGTAATTGTATATCAACTGATGATACATAGAAAGATATTAGTAACTGTGGGAGTTTATGACTCCTGTTCATTTTCTTAAGGCACTGAATGGCTTAATGTGAGAAACTTTTTAAAAAGCGCCTAATAATTAATCTTATCTGTATTTTAAGCAAGCCCATTTCAAAGTATTAGTAAATGTATCATTTCAACAAAATGAAGAAAACATAGAACACAGTCACAGAACTGTGATGTGTAGATGACAAATTAGTTTCTTTTCATTAGCTCTTTTATTTTTAAATGTTATCCTCAGCGACAAAACCAGTTTCTTGGTCTGGCAATATGCTGACACTGCAGTATAAAATAACACTCCTAGTAAAAATAGAAGTGCTTGTCAAAACTTTGAGGAATCTCAGATACTGACAGACTGGTGAATGGGCTATGATTTATAATATTTTTCTGTTATAATATTTGCATGAAGAAAATAATAGTGCTTGTGTTCATACAGGGTAAGTCACCTATTTCAACCTTTTTGAAGGGCTGCCTTCTTCTTGAGGGAGTCTAGAAATATTTCAACATAGAGTAGTTTACAAACACAGTGTAATGTAGATCTTCCAATTAAAGGTACCAATTAGCCAAAATGCCACTAGTGTGATACAGTGGAAAGAGTCCTAGATTTAGAGTAAAAAAGTCTAAATTTGAATCCTAGCTCATTCACTCACTGCCTATATATTTGGAACTTCTTATTGTAATATATGTAAAATGGGTACTAAAGAAAGTTTTCTCTTACATGATAATATAGTTCTTTTATCCCACTATTTCAAAATAGTTTATATTATAATTACTGATACCCCACCATATCATTAATCTTAAAAGTCAAATTGATACTTAACTTTTCTCTGGTTCTGAGATACATGCATATGCCATCAAACATAGCAGATTATTCATATTACTAAATTATACACACGTATCTTACACTCTCATTCTCATCAATTTAATTAAATTGGTTACTACATGCTTTGATGTTGTTATGTCCTATCTTATTTATTTTTATTCTGCTATGGATTCTATAGTGTAGAAAAGGGACTCTGGATCTAAAATATTTAATCATCTTTCACAGTTCAGGAAATGTACTAATAAAAATATATAGTAACTTGATAAAGAAAATAAACTTTCCATGTTTGGAATGCTCACCCTCCTCTGCTCTAACTACTGGCCTCTCTGGCTTCTGTTAGGTCCCAACTGATATCCTGCCTTCTACAGGAAGCCTTCCCAAATCCCTCTTTTAATTATTGCCTATTTATCCTGTCCATAGGTTGTTTTGTATATACTTGTTTGCATGTTGTTTCCCTCACTAGATTGTAAGCTTCTTGAGGGCAGAGACTGCCTTTAATCTTTTTGTATTTCCCCAGCACTTAGCACAGTGCCTGGCACATAATCCTGGACTGTTGGTACCATATCTTTCTTCCATTAGCATGAAAATTAAACATAGCACTTAATAAATGTTTGTTAAATGAATAAATTTATTGAGAGGGCAGTTTATTTGTGTCTAATGGTATCACTGCTACAGAAAGAATATTTTTAAAAATCTGAGCAATTCAGCTTTCTAATTCTTCCTAGGTAGAATATTCGGAGTAATTTTTTTTTTACATATCATGTGAATTGTTATGAATTTCCAGAACTTGAGACATATTAACATTCTCATTTAATTATGAATTCTCACTTCAAAGCCAAATATAAATGATCCTGGATTGCTGGCACCATATCTTTCTTCCATTAGCATGAAAATCAAACCACCTGCACTTTTTTTAATTTAGAAAGCAAATCAACCACAAAACAAAATACAACTTACTGGTTTGTTAATCCACAATATATCTGCATTATCGGACAAAGATTCATCAGGGCCAAAGTCTGTAACTGGCTGGGCTTCCACCCTAGAACTCTGTTTCCTTTTAAGCATGCTGAAATTAACTTTGGTCAGCTAAAACAATAAAACACCCTGGAAAAGAAAAGAGAAAAATAGCACTATTTAAATCAGTCAGAATTGCTTTTAGTTCATAAGACCAATAAGTTAATTGCAACCTAGATGTCAAGTATTGGCCCTGTCTATTGAAGAACAGTGAATGTTAAGAAGTACTTCTAGATCAGAAGTGGTTTTTGAAGCTTTTTGGGTATCACAGGTTCCTTTGGTAGTCTAATGAAGCCTATGAACCCACTCTGAGAAAAAAAAAAGTTTTTAAATTCATAAAAGACTTAGAATTACAAAGGATACCAGTTACATTGAAATGCAGTTATCAAAAACATGTTTTAAACAGTTCACAGAACCCCAGTTAAGAAACCTGCTCTAGATATATGTTTGTACATCTAGTTGGGGTCCAGTCAATAGAGTAATCTTCCATAAAATTTTCTGATTAACCTATGGCTACAACTAGGGGAGAAATGTTTTTTGGACAGAAGTTTGCTCCTACATGCTGCCAATTCCTAGTGATAATCCCTTTTTAGTTATCAAATTTTGGGGAGCTACCTGAGTTAAATATCCTTGTTGGACAGTCCAGTCTGCCAGCTATGAGCCCACTGGAAAAAAGGACATCATCTCTTTTACATGACATCCTATCTACCAACAAATAGTGAAGATGGAGAGGGCCACTTGCATTCCTATCCTTAAAACCTCAAAATCTGTTCTTTAAGCCTTGAGATTTTTATCTCTTGCTTTTATCCTTTTTTACTGTCCTGTTGCTATGGGAATGGGTATGGATTAGAGCAACAGAGACATCATGAGGGGATAGTTCACACTTCTCCTAGATAAGTGATGAGCAGACCATACATAGAAAAGGACAGAGCCTAGAAAGAAAAGTTCCTCATTTGGTTTTTTTCAGTAAAGTATGAGGTGAAATCTTTAGTTGAGAGGGGAGGGAGGTGGATGAGAGTAGCAAAGGTGGAAAAAGGAATTAAAAAAAAATTGGAAACACTAAGGGGCGATTTCCATATAGTTTAAGTAAGTCTGAGTGTTTGTGTACGTGGGGGTGGGAGAGTCTCATCCTAATTGCACTCATTCATGTGTATATGACTATCCTATTAATCCCAGAAGTGGTCAAATTAATTAGTTTTAAAATATGTTAGGAATTTCTTGTCTGTCATGCATGCCCCAAATACTAGGGTTGGACTTTGCAGTCAGTTGTGCTAATTAATTTTATTTTACATAATTGGAGTTAGGAATTCTTGAAATGAATATGCAAATATATGCAAAATATTCAAATTAGGCAGGTCCCTGATTTATCAGAGTAGGGGTGGAGAAAATGACATCTGGTAGCCTTAATTTGGGATTCCTTTTCAAACAACATTTTCTTGAAGTCCCTGTGTTTAAATACAGAATCTTATAGGAAACCCCACAAGATTTTACACACAATATGGAGCAAAATGCTAGGGCATAAATAGAAACAGCTGCTCTAGGGTTGCACCAAAAAATGAGAACCCTGGTCATATTGCTTTTTCTAATTAACCATTAATTAAAAATTGTAGGGGGTAATAAAATGAGAGATCCTTAAAATAGCTGTCTTTGTCCTTGTTCATGCTGCCCTTCTTCAGCTATGGATTCGCTGGGGGTGGGGTGAGGTAGAGGGGTGGATAATGAGGGAGAAGGAGGAGGAATTCTTTATTACCATGTTGCACCTTTACCTTGAAACATCATGTCATTTTTGGAATATAAAATTCTTGAACTCAAACCACTTCTCAGTTATCTATTTGTTCATTCATTTAGTTCCCCAATCAAACCTTTACCAGAACAGCTAACATGATGATCACCATACTGGCTAATTTGGCCTCTAACTTGGGCTTTGACCTCATTTCACCCTCTGGGAAAGAGCTAACAAACAGTGAAGCAGCAACCTGAGTAGTGGCAAAATTACAGAGAAGGAGAAAGAGACTGTTTAATTCACAGAGTCCTGGATGTGTAAGAGTTAACTATTTGCTATTCATGTAGAGAGCCAAACTATGGCAACAAATAAATAATCAAAATCCAGTCAAAGTCAGTGCGTTGTTAAGATTCTCTTTTGCACAAGGAAGCATATTTCTCCACAATAGCATTTGTTGAATTAATATAGCCTAATGCTTCAGACCTATTATTCAACTGATAAAGACCAATAGGGATAGTTAAGTATCCAAGGGAAACTGTCCATATTGATAATTCCTACAATTTATTTTAGCCTTACTGTAACCTTATCATACTCACACAGTTGATGGCCAACTGTTCTTCCTGTTTTCAGAGTCCCTTATCATTCTCACTATGATTGGTCAGTACAGTTTGATAAACATGGCTTTCAATAGCTTTTTTGATACTTAGAGCTGGTATAAAGCTTAAAAGTGGTAGCTGGGTAGCCAGATTACCTGTACACTAACTATTTAATGGAAAATACACTAGACTGGGACATAGAAAATCTTGTAAAATGGTTCTTATACCATGTTACCCACTTACTAGCTCTGTAGTCTTGGGTAAGTCACTTTTTTACCCTGTTCATCTGTAAAACAGGATCATAATCTCCTCCATGCCTGCCTCATGGGATTGTTTCAAGGATCACATAAAGGATAAATCATTCTCCAAATAGAAAGTGTTATTTTACTTGGAAACAACTCACATGAGGGTAAGGAGAAAATATATTTTTTGTGAGAATCTATGATTTCATCAGTGTAGGGAATTTTCAACGAGGAGATTCTTTCTACCAATGTAGATATGTGCCTCCTCTGCAATTTATGGTCTCATAGACCTATCCTTATCACTAAGAAATAAGTGACTTTTTCAAAGTCACATGGCCAGTGTATTGTCCAAGGTAGGACTTGAATCCAAATTTTCCTAACTCTCAAAGTCTGTTCTGTATCCATTATACCTTGCTGCCCTTCACATTTTAAATAACTAAAATTTGCATTGATCTCCATTTTACTATTGAATAAAAGTACATTTACACCAAATTTTTCCATTATTACTTTTTAACCCAGATCAAAAACATCTTCTCTACCTTCATTTTCCTTAACCTTTCAGCTACAGATCACATTTTAGACCTTTGTCTTCTTTTTTTCCTTTTGCATCTTGTTATCTTAAGCACTAGGCTTTTTAAAAAAATTCATCTATTATCTTTTAATTGCTTTCTTATGGCATCTCCTTTTCCTGAGTCCTTCTCTGTTCATACCACAGAAATACCTGGGTGAGGAACCTTGCTCTTTTTTTCTCACTTAAACTCCCTTGAAAATCACCTGTTATCATACTTTTGAGGATTCTATATAGATGGCTATTAATCAAACCATCCACCTCTACCTCTGATAAAATGCATTTCATTTAGATGATATAATAATACCTAAGACTCAATATGAAAAAGACAGATTTTGTTGTTTCTGTATCTAAACCCTCTTCATTAGTTCCCAGTCTTCTCTTCATTGAGGCAATGTAGAAGGTTTAGGTACAGAAACATATGATGTCTTTTTCATGTTCAGTTCCTTTCTGTGCTGCCTACAAACTTGAAGTGACTTTAAACGTTTCTTCTCTACATAAAGTTTATTCACAAATTCTTTCACTTCCTTCATCATGACACATCTAAAATCCATTCAATTCTCTTCATCTTCATCATGGATAACTCAAAGCTAGGCTATGGACATTCTCCTTCAGCATGATGTAATTTAGAAGATGTAGGTTCAAATCCAAGCTGTGCTTCTCATTAACTGTGTGGAGAATCATCCCCCCTTCTCTGGGGCTTACTTTGTTTATATGTAAAATGAAGGCATTGAACTAGATCTGGGGTTCTTAATCTGGGTTGGTGATCCCTGGTGTAGACAATAAACAAAATAATAATCAAACCCTGATTTGGAGCATTTGATAATTTCTGAGGTGTAAATATTCACACTGAAAATTTAAAAATTATTTGAGAGTCAATCAACAGAATTGTTAATTGTACTTCTGTTTCTATCTATCTCCAGAGTTCAAAGCCTTGCAAATAATCGGTGTGAATAAATGTTTGTTGATGCAATGTTTGTTGATTTATGTTTGTTGACATAAATTGACCCAAAATGCATAAACCTCACATTTGAAACTTGAAAGGAAAAGAAATTCCATATGGAGTTCCTAAACATGTTTATCAACAACTTGATTGCTAATGCTTTCTCCTTGTACCCCCCCCTCACAAATGTACATGAAATTTTATAGATCCAATGCTTTGCTTAAAGGAATCTTCCATTTAAGAGCCCCTTTTCAGGAACAGGAAGAGTTACTTAAAAAAAAAAAAAAAACTCAGCTGCCACAGATTCCAGTTAACTCTGCCAGCTGTACAAATATGGGTGAGTCACTGCCATTTAGCAAATAGAGGTGTGAATCTCAAAGATTAATGAAGGTTGCCAAGGGTTGGCAAAAGCTCAGGACCCAGATGTTTGAATAAATTTGTCTCTCCATCTCTCTTTGACAGGAAAATCAAGGGAATTGGGGTGGGTGGGAAGAATAATGTGTGTATGTGGGTTTGGAATGGATTGTGAAAGTAAATACAACATCTGTATCTTTTTAACCTTGCTTATCAACATTGTATATGTACATATACACATATTTAAGCCCCGAGAGCATATTTATCCAAAAAATATAAATTGAAAGCTGCCTAATATATTTTCATGAGCAATATACTCAGTAAATATTAATGTTGATGAGAATGATGATAATGAACCACTAGCTGTAAAGCTGTGATATTTGAGCCAGTTTTCTAATGCTATATTTCCCACTAATTTTGTATCACAACTCTCTGAAAGCAATGTGCCAAGAACAAAATGAAAATATCTCTATACAATATTCATTTTAAAATGTTATCCTTTGAGATGTTCTTAATGCCAATACTTACATACAAAATACATTCTATCAGCTAATTTAAATATAACTTTTTTCACAACTTATTGTCTTCTGCTAAAAAGTTTTGTTTTAAGTTATCTATTCTTTCC